CTCCTCTTGTACCCGACTGTCATGGCAGTAGGGCTTCTACCATTGGGCGCAGTCGACGGTTTGAAGGGATTGTAAACGAATGCGGGCGTGGCATTCATGAGTTTTTGACGCTCATGGCTCTTTGCATACTGTGATGCAAGGAAGGCATGAGTTTTTCTGAGTCGTTGCCAACGATCTCTTCGGAATGGTGATGCCACCTACTGAAGATTGACAGGTTGTCTGCTCACCAAGGTGCTCTTCGCTTCTTCTACTGCTCTGCGGTGGCGCTTTACCGTGATCTTCTGCTGTCTCCGACCACGACGCAACCTCGTTTTGTTTCCTGTGTTCTGTGCCTTGGCTGTCTGTGCGGCGTTTTGTTGTTCGTATTTTGCAGGTATTATTGGCATTATTCGTCATCTACGGGGTTCTTTCTCCTCACGTTCGACGCCCATCATGGGAACTTTCATGGTACTTTCGTGGCAGTTTCACACGGCAGTCGTGTTCCTCTAGGATCGCCCAATATGTGATATCCGACTAGTAGCCTACTGGATTTGTGAGCAGGACATGGTGTTAGCTGGGATAGGTTAAAAAGGAGGCAAGACTTTGGGAATGGCCTCCTACATCGAGTTGTCGTCGATGGTTAGGTATCAGGTTCCTCCTGATGATGCTACGTGCGGGGTAGTAGAAACGCGTTGGGGAGTGGCCGCTAGACTGTGGACCGGGGTGGGGAGAGCTTTGCTCTCGGGTTGTGAGTTTTGGGCTATGATATTTTCATGAAAATTATCTTTCTAGCTCTTCTGACTCTGTGCGGTTTCTCGTTGTCGATTGTTGGCTCTATTTGGCGTGCGTGTGAGATGTGATATTGGACTTTATGGGTTTGCATCTGGATCATCTCTCCTCATGCTGCAGCTGATGTAGCCGATCAGGCTCACATATCCTAATTAGCATAGCATCCGTTAGTGCAATTATACACTAATAGGTGGCTATGTCGACGACTCTCGTTTCTTGTAGTGGTGCATTTTGATTCTTGACCTGTTTTGATTCTTTATTTTGGATCTTCTTGTTCTAAGCGGGGTGTTTCGTTTCTTGACCTGGTAAGGACTCTATACTTTCTAGGGAGACATGAGGGTGGTTCTGCGATGCGCCATGTGGCTAGAAGACTGCGATGGGCTAATCCAGATTGTTGTTTTCCTTGATGAAGAATCCGGATCGTTTAGGGCTACCGTGAGGTATGATCCCTAGATTCCGTTTTTTCCATGGTGGGGCTACATTGGTTCGCCAGCTACATTGGTTCGCCATAGTCCTCTTCGGCAACATAAGATACATTTGTCTCGGGTTTTCGTGGTGAACTCTAGAGCTTTGGGTGTATTTGCGCTGGGACCGATCGACTTCATTCGAAATCTGAAGGTTTATTCGGTACTCTCATACCACTATCACGGATCGTTTATTCTTGGATTTTCCTTGGTGATCCTCCGCGGTGCTCGTTCGATGGCGTCTTCCTTGAAGTGTTTCACTTGTGGCGGGGAAGGGCATTTTTCACGGGAATGCCCTTCCAATACAAGGCACTCTACAGCTCCCACGGGCGGAGGAACTGGAGCAGTTGCAACGCTAGTCACTCCTCGCTATTGGACTCCTCGACGTACTTACGACGATACTGAGGAGCGTGAATTCTTACGACAGATGATGTCCGAGGAGACGCAACAAGATGCCCTGAAGAAGGAAGTGGAAGAAAAACGTTGTTTTGAGGAGCAGGTATGGCTTGAAACAACGCAACACGCTGAATCCACCAAGGCAGAATTGATGGCGCTGCTTGGCAGGCAATTCATGATGTGTAAGGAGGAGGTGCGGCGTGAGGAGTATCGGTCTCCTGCTTCGTGCAACCCACGGAGACAGGCAACACACTAGGACGATGAGCTGGACAACGCCGACTTGGATGATGAGATCCGACGGCTGCTTTCAATACATGAGCGTAATCGGAAACGGAAGGCGACTGCTACAGCGGAAGGAGTCCGGTTTCGGCAGCCCACCTTCGATAACCTGGACGGATCGGTAGAGAAGAACCGCACTCGAGCGGAGTCCTCCAAGGATGCCGAAGAACGGGTTAAGACCAAGATTCCAGCTGGAAGCGGACCTGAAGGGTTTCTCCAATTCGTCCTGGATCAGCGGCACGAACTTTCGAATATGAGGCCGGAGAAGCTCAAGCGCATCTGTACCAAGGAGGGTGTTCACAATTGCACTAAGATTCCCTCAATCGAGCGTATTATCACTGCGTGTGTTAAGTGTGCCTACGAAGGATTTGTCTTCCTCCCTGCCCCTACAACCGGGGTTTTCCCAGATGCTAATTTACCTCGGAGTTGACTATTAAGATTTGATGTCATTAAGCTGTGGAACAATCTTCTGGGAGCTATGCGAGGGAGGTCGGAATTACCAGAGGGTCGCTCCTTTTGTAGACGACGGGTTTTGCTTGAGGAACTCTGTACCCTGAGCTTTGTGGGTTTGGTTTTGCTTGGCGAAATTACTTGGATGAGCAAGTTTGCTTCGCTACTTCTGTCAGTTGATTGAAGTTTCCGGGATAAAGGCCCAGTTGTATATGTTCTCTCGTCTCCGTGGTGCAAAGCTCAGTACGTAGGGAGTACAGTGCGAGGTTTATATGTGCGCTGGGGTAAGCATGTTCGTACTGTCCTTTTCGGGTGCTTGGGAGTTTGTCCGAAGCTTTACAAATGGTTAAGATCGTTTGGTGTGCATAAGTATGTCGTGGTTCCGCTACTTAACGGTACTGTTTCGGTTGCACATTTTGAGAAAGTTGTTATCCGATGTTTTACTCTTGTTTTGAATACTAAGCGGATAGGAGGCTTTCGGTGTTCCGTGCTAGATTATCAAGGAAAAGACGCTTAGGGAATGTACCATGCGTACAAGGGCTTTTACGTTTTCTCAGGTTTAGAATCGATAATGGGCCATGGATAGATAGTTTACTCCGTTTGATAGGCACCGCCTATAACTTTGGGCTACGTTTTGTCTCTATCTCCAGCTCTTCGGGGAATCTTTGGGCTGATCGTTGGTCTGTAATTAGACGCATGCTCGGGTTTTCGCCGGTGAGATTCGCGGATGCAGACACATGCCTCAGATCAGGGAAATCAAGAATTCATGCAGGTGTATCTTTTGTTATTGGACCGATCATCCTGACCCCAAATGGAAGGGCTATCCTCAAGGGTCAACTTCGGCTCATCTTACATCAACCATGGAGGCGAAAGGAGTTGTTTCGTCGACCTGAATGGGCTTCTAAGGTTGCACAAAGCAGTCCATGAATTTTTCGGTAAAGATACACGGTCTTGTTTGAAGAACGTTTTGGCGAAGGTTATGAAGCATCGCATCAGTTTGGATATTCGTCGCCGAATCGTGGTTTGAACGAAGTTTGATCATAGGTTGTCAGCTTCCAAGATTCATAATTTAGCCGCTCGGATTATCGATGAGTCTAATCTGCAGTACGGGATTAGGGAATTTTTAAAAAATAGGATCCGCGTAGTGTGGAGGAAGCATCGTTCAGTTGGTGACCTTTTTTGTTCGCATCATCGTTTTGCGAGAAAGGATCAGGGCGACGTCAAATGCGTGTGCCCCGAGGCTGATGCTAGATGGCCACGTCTTGGTTTTCACGTACACGCAAGATTCGCTGAAATCCCTGATCTTCCTGATATCATCAGGAATTCTAGGAACATTCCTCTTGAAGACGCAGGTGACGGTATTCCGGAACTAGGTAAGCAGTTGGCACAGGTTTGCAGTAACGTGAAATCTAATTTTGTGATCTCGTTGGATGACCTCCGGTCCTGTTGGCAGGACCTACCGGCTATGAAACACCCGCGGACGCGTCCGCGGGGTCGAGCTCGGATCGCATACCCAAATGGGTCCGCATCCGCAGCCTACCTGGTCTGCACCGCGGACCCGATTTTACATGAATTTTCCTGAATTAAATAATAGGTAAAAAAAAAAAAAAAAAAAAAAGGGTTGTAGGAAATTTTGAGCCCTACAACCCATTTTTTTTTTTTTTTGAATCGGACTTTATTTAGGATTTAAAAAAATTTAAAAACGAAATTGGATTTAAAGAAAATTAAAAAATATATATATAAAGAAAAGCAGGAATTTTTTTT